TGGAATGCAGGTGCAAGCTTTCCATCAATCTTATATGAATACCACACAAGTTCAAACGTTACACTTATCCGTGTAAGGATGATTGATGGTGTTGGGAACTCAAACCTTTTTAAATGTTAGGAGATGTACACCCAATATATAAATAAAATTTTGCATTCTCAAAGCATGTGCAGGACTGATTATTGTATCATTAGAATGATATCCAGCCACATTGTGTGTTAAGTAATTATATTCCAAATGGAAACATTTTGTTGATTTGCAGGAAAATGTATGCTTGTCTGATTTAAATTCAGTGTATTTTTCAGCATATCTGAATTTAAAATTTTGACTATGTTAATCTTTGAGTTTAAACCAAATGTTTCTGAAATCAAATGAGTCATTTGTTTCACTGATGTTTTGCCTTTTCAGCCTTTTGTGCAAAAAGGAAATATTCCATAGAATTCCTACAGTGCAGAAACAGGCCATTCAGCCCAACGAGTCCACACTGACCCTCCAAAGAGCATTCCACCCAGACCCATTCCCCTACCCTATCGCAGTGACTCTGCGTTTCCCATGGCCATCGCACCTAAGCTACACATCCCTCAACATTATGGGTAATTTAGCACGGCCAATCTACCTAACTTGCACATCTTTGGACTGTGGGAAGAAACTGGGACTATCGGTGGAAACCTACCCAGACGCGGGGAGAATGTGCAAACTCCACACAGGCAGTCACTTGAGGGTGGAATCGAACCCAAGTTCCCGGTGCCGTGAGGCAGCAGTGCTAATACTGAGCCACCCGTGCTGCCCACAGATATTGTATTCATAAAAATCATAAGTATTTTAGGTAATTGCTAAATATGCAGCTAAAGATGGATATTTCGACTGAATTAATTCATTTATTCATGTGTGCTGTGCCCAAAGGCAACTCCTTGATTCACTGTCTGATAATCTGGAGCTGTTGCAGTTTTTGTTAGTGGTGCTTGTTTTCTACTCTTAGAGGCAGAACAATGAATCATCTCCCAAGTCTACCTCAGCATAACCGAAATCAGTGGTGTGGGGGTCATTCTGAACCACATGCTAGGCATCTAAACTGGTCCCATTCTGAGTTGTCATGGAAACATGCACTCTTACATTTCATGGAACTATGGACAGTGATGGTGGAGAGGCCAACTTTCTTTCCATCACATGTTTGACCAAGAATTTCTCCCACTCTTACCTCTGTGCCACTGCTTTGTGTAGGGAGGGTTGTGAATGATAAACGAAGTGTTTAGACACATTATGACCAGACCTTTTTGGCTAAGTCTTGGATTGGCACTAAAAGCCAGAGCTTCTAGCTTAGACAAAATTCCACTACAAGGCCTTGAATATATCTTTTGAATTAAGAAAGTTTGATTCATCACATGGAATAAGAAGTTTGTTATTTTTGCAACCCTAGGATTTCCTATAGCTTTTCACCGATGGTGAGTTACGTTTTGAAGTTTGATCAATGGCTAATGGGCGGAGCACATATATTTTGCACACATCTCCCCACTGCTTTAACAAGTTAGCTTTTGAAATAAACACACATAAGTAAATCCAGAGTTACTTTAAGTCATTAATCCAAAAGTGGACATTACATGTTTCAAGGAAAACATCCCGTTGATTTTTTTTTAAAGAGGTAAATACTCCACCAAAGCATCTCCAAGAATAAAATATGAACAGGAAGAAGTGGGTTGAAAAAAATCTGCCTGACTTGATTCTATTTTTAAAGATTTGTCCACCAAGATTATCTGATATGTTCCATAAACCCATGCTGACTTGAAATTATTTCAATACCAGAAAATTCATTTAAACATGAAGTGACACTTTATTTTGTCGCATGAACATTTGTTCTCCTTGTAAAAAGTTATATATTTGGTATAAGTTGGGAATTGGGAATGGTTCCATAGCATTAGGAAGGCAATGCTAATATATATATGCCAAGAATACTAACTGTTAAAGTTTTTAATAAACCCTTGCCTCATTTTTGAAGTTAAATGCTACATATTAGGAAAAGTACAACCTCAGATATATTTTAACTTGTGAATAAGGATTCTAAAAGTCTTGCATTGCACTGTGGAAAGCCACCAAAGAGATCCAAAAAAAAGGTTGCATTCAGGTGATCTTTAAGGGCCAAACACTAATTAAAACATTATCACTGACAGTGACCTGCTCAAATATTAAGCAGTGATGTTATGGCATCACTCACTGCCTCCACACAACCAAATATACACACAGTAATTTTCAAAATTCAAAGCCTTGCAAAATCTCAGCTGAGGTGCAAATCTATCATTGAATTCTGTGGAAGCATTGTGTACAGGTTTTACAACACGAAAGAAGGCAGGCTTATCATGGCAACAAGTCCAGACACTACATCATCAGGAGTCGAATAGATTTCAGTGGCATGGCATTCCAAACTGAGTTCACTTAATCTGGACTGCTGTCTTCCCAAGGTCCACGTGCCAGGATTACAACTCTATCTCCAATGTTATTTGTGAATGTGAGAGAAAATAATACTGGTAAACCTTAGCCACTTGAAATCAATGGTTCAACACCAGACATCTTTCTTATTCTAGCAGTTTAACACTATTAGAATCCAAGTAGGTGTTGCATATTCATCTTGCCTGGATGTCTTTATTCAAAAGTAAAGAAGATGGTAAAGAAAGAATTTCTGAGAACTGAAAGACACTGCCACCAAATTTTTCAGATGAATCAGGTGGAATTTAATGTTTTTCCACATGGCACATTCGGTGGCAGAGAGTATGGTGGGTAAGGGACCCTGATAAGATCTGTTGGTGAAAGGCCAACTCCACTACCAATTGAGACCCTTGTATTGGGCAATGAATATCTACTTAGAGGTCACATTTTACAACTATTTACCAACCAAGCAGTAAACAGGAAGCACAACAAATAAACCTGTATGGGGTTGTTAGTCAGGAGATCCCTTATTTAAAAGCCCTCAGTTCCTGATCGAGGGTCCAGGCACCAGAAACGTGGGGCTGGGCCCCTCTGAAAGCTGCCTTCCCTAACACCCCACAACCACCCTTGCTGCCAACTCCTCTTTCCATGACCTGCACTGCACGAACCCCTTTTGGCATCACTTACCTATGGCCTGGGTCCATCAATGACTTCATGAATGTAGCACTGGCAATAGTCGTGCATTCCACCATGGTGCCACCATTAGTAGAGCTACCAGTCTCAGGTGAGGACTTCTGATCCAGGACCTTTGATCCCAGTGAAGGCCCACCATTGTCTGAGAGTGGCACTTAATTTGGTGTTCCCCCTAAAAGAGACAGAGTGGAACTCTCGCTGGCTCTCCTCAGTGGGTGAGACCCCCATTATATACTGCCCCTTAGATTTCTGTTAGTAACAAACATTAATTAACATGGAATATTTTTGGCATTTTAAGAGGAAGCTTGGTAATAATAAAAACAAAATTGAGGTATTGTTTACTTCTGTTAAACTTCTTGAAAGACTAGAAGTCATTCTATATTTTCAATTGGTTCAATCTATCTTGAAATTCTTCCTCAAATTGGAATGGTGTGGCACGTGAATAATAAAGAAAGTCACAGAAACACAAAATGCCTCACTATTTAAAATTCTGATCTTTCATATGGACTGTTCTACCCTTTCGTATCTTTATCAGTTTGACCTTCAGCCAGCTCTCATTAGTCATATCTGTCTTTCTTTACCTGACGGTACTGAAGGCAGCTGTTCTTGGCTTTCCTTCTCAGCAGCAATGGGAGAGCCCTGCGGAGGCACTTTGACAGGTGTTGTCTCTTCAGGTGTCTCGAACGCTCCTTCCGAGTCTGAGCTCCTGAAACAAAACAAACACATTCTGTGAGAAGGCCATTCAATTCCACAAAGATTCTAGCCCCATTAGTTCCCATCCTCTTTCCCTGTCTAACACCAAAAGGACTTGCCTCGCTCCAGTTATTTTCTGCATGAACTGGAGACTATACTCTCCTCCACCACACACAGCAGACCATGTCCATCGAGCCCATTGTACTGGAGAGAGAATGTGCCATGGGCTAAAAACCATTTTGTCCCTAATTCTATCTGCAAGATATGCTGTGATTTAGTTCGAAACTGGCGAAAAACTGAAAAATTCCTGTTCAGTTGAGTGAATGCAAGTCACCGCAGGCAGGGCATCCTTTATGCTTCCAGCAACTGACGTTCTTTCACAAGCTCCTTGTATGGCATAAAGTAGCTGCCTTTAGACTCAATTCCATTAATTGTTCTCCATTCACAGCGTGAACCCACTGCTAGCATTGCATAGGCTGGTGCAGAAGGACTTCAGTGTTATGTCTGACGGCATCAATTATGTAATTGACCAGATCCTGTGCAGTGATTTTCACTGAATTTCAATCAGATGCGAAACCCCATTCCTGCTTTCACAGCACCGCCGCCTGGAGCCTACCACTAGCATGGAGGTGTTCTGTTAGCAGAAACACACACTTTCAAAGAGACCCTCCAGCAGTGTGCACCAGCACAACCCCTTCATTCTATTGTACTAAACCTCTGTTATTGCGTGTCTTCATGGCTATCTTTCCAGGATAAGAATGGATAAGATAAATTAACACTTCACTCTCACAAAGCTCCTCTTTTCAGCAGGTTATTTTTTAATTGATCAGAACAGTAGGAAATTGTGATGGAGAAAATAAACTTTGCATTTCAGCTGTAGGTAATAAATTAAATTTGGGGCAGCGTTAAAGTGATAATAGAAGGTGATTGCAAGATTGATGTATTCCAGTGCCACAATCAAATATCTGTGTCAATTGTATCCCACAGACTGGTCCACAGTACACACAACTTTTCATAAACACATTTTGATAGACCAGGGTTTCACCTGTAAAATATTAGTTATGATCAGAAGAGGACGAGGCCATTCAGGCCCTCAAGTTTGTCTGGCAATCAATTAGATCAATGCTGCCTAACATGGCCACCACTCTCCATATGTGATGGATCAGCCACAAGCGTGTGTGAAATTGCTCTGTTCATTTCAGAGCCACACAATAATGAGTGATTTTAATGTCACAGTATGGGTGTGGTTATAATCCACCATACGATAATTTGTCTTCTGTCCCAAACTTGAAAGAATTAATGACTGTTCGACAGAAGTTACAGAAGTTAGACTGTGGCTATTCTTATCAGATTATAACAAAGATCTGCGGATGCTGGAAACCTGAAACAAAATCAGAAAACGAGACAACAAGGTGCAGGGCTGGATGAACACAGCAGGCCAAGCAGCATCATAGGAGCAGAGAGGCTGACGTTTCGGGCCTAGACCCTTCATCAGAAAAGGGGGAGGGGAAGAGGGTTTTGAAATAAATAGGGAGAGAGTGGGAGGTGGATAGAAGAGGGATAGAGGAGAGGATAGGTGGAGAGGAAACAAACAGGTCGAAGAGGCGGGGATGGAGCCAGTAAAGGTGAGTGTAGGTAGGGAGTTAGGAAGGGGATAGGTCAGTCCAGGGAGGACGAATCAGAAAATGCTGGAGAAACTCAGCAGGTCTGGCAGCATCTGCAGAGAGAGAAAAACAGAGTTAACAGTTAGCGTCCAGGAGCCTCTTCTGATGAAGAGTCACTGAACTAGAAACATTATTTCTGTTTCTCAGTACAAATGCTGCTAGAGTTTCTCCAGCACTTTTTGTCCTTATCAGAATATCGTTCAATTGTTACCTTTTCAGTGACCTGGCAGTTGAAGGAACACTTCCTCAATGAGACAAGAAAATTCGGCGAGGGGTCCCGACCCGAAACGTCAGCTTTCCTGCTCCTTTGATGCTGCCTGGCCTGCTGTGTTCCTCCAGCTCCACACAGTGTTACATCTAAGAAAACTAGGCCACTGCTTGTTCTTCCTCTCACTTGCTGCCTCAAAATGACAATATATTTAAACCTGCAAGACCTCTTTATGAAAACAGAACCACCTTCAAAAGGACAACAGTTTGTGCTCTAATCTTGGGGATCCCAGTGACAGAGGGGATGCCAACTGAAACACGAGGATTTGTTTAGTTGGTATTTGGCAGTTATTGAAAAAAATGTTCAGGTGCATGAGTGACAGACAGCACCTCAAGACTGCCAATGTGGGCTGAAAAATGCAATTGTGGCAAACTTTGGCAGACCTGCAACATCTGAAGTATTTAACCTTGATCTTAACAGATCTATTGAAAGGAACCATTGAAAGGAATAGGGTGCTATATGAATAAAGGGAGAGATTTCAGGAGGTTGGCCATGAGACAAAGATCCATTTGTTGCCTGGATGCTGTGTATGAAAATTACAGGCAACCGAAAGGCAAAGGTTAGAGCATGTAAGAATACAATATATACAGATTCGTTAATTATCTTTCTTTTGCTTGTCTCCAAAAATATCAATTCTGATAAAGTAAGATAGTTCACTAGAAGAAATTCTGCAGCACACTGTCAGAACACTTCCTTGAATAGATTGTCACCACCCTCCGAGAACATCTAAAGCAAGTTCATTTCACAGAATACGTGGATTGCAAATCTCATTTGAAGCTGTTATTCCAACTCTGGCAGAGAACGGATCATTCTTAATTACTCATGACTTAAAATCTCAAATCTAATGTTCAAAATTTTGGGCATTTAATTTATCAATATTGTCTTTTTTGCATCATAGGACAAGTATAATGATCTGCTCACCGCATCTTTCATGAGCATCAAAATGCTGTTGGACAACATTGCATTAGATCGTGATTGATCAGAATCTTAACTTCATCCACTATCATGGTACCATAGACTTCAAAACACCAGCCCCCAAAAAGAAAGACATTCCGATGCATTTTTCTGAATTTAAAATGTTACCCCTGTATCCATGACAGCCTCAGATGAGTGTCAGGGCGGAGATAATTCTTGCATATGCGCAGGGAGGAAGTCTGTTCTGAGTCATACTGGGAAAAGTTCGCACTTGAACTTGGGATAGCATCCGCCTCCAATTTCCCTTCTCCCACAGACAAATGTATTCTACGACCCTGGAGAGCCAAACATCTTCACTCTCCAAAAATGTAAACTCATTAATGTGGTTCTGATTTTTGAGGCTTGTTACAATTTGGTTAACTGTGACAGTAAAAATTCCATTTTATATGTGGACACTGCTTCATTTAGGGGTAGGGTGAAAGCCAGCCAAAACAAATCAGAGATTCTATGATCCCAACCACTGCAACCAGATGGTTCTTGTACAACGTACATCCCTATGCATCAATGATCTTTTCCCATTTGATGTCAAAATGGAAGCAGCTCTGCTGTTGACCTACTGTTAATCAAATTTCACAGCAATCTTATAACTCTACTCAAAATCACTTAGTTTGTATCCTGTCATTTTAGATTTTAGAGAGTTACTTAAACGTGAGGGAACAATAAAAAAGAACCCACAATCATGTTATTGCAGCCTTTTATACATTCCTCCACCCTGATTGCCCATGTATTCATTTTCTTTGCCAAACAGAGAAATCTTGTAGAAAAGAGAAAATTGTGAAATCTTGAGAAATGATGAGCCAAGATTCACAAGAAATAAAGATACAATTTTTCTGTTAACATATTATGAAGCAAAATGCAAACACATGACTCTATGGGGAAAGGAATCTTTCTTTTTAGAAAGTGCAGCTCTAAACCACTGTTGTAAAAATTGGTGGTCATCAGTGAGAAGATTCTGTGCATGCACATCATTTTATAAAATTGGAAGACCAGCCTGAACTGCAAAGGTTCAGTCACTTTTACACAAAATACGATCATATTTAAATAATATGAATTCTACACTAACGGTGTTTTATATGGAAGCTTTAGTTAATGCCAAAACTGACCAATCCAAACCTGAAACTTTGTGATATTTTCTCTTTGGGCAAGTTCATGGACCCACTGCCCATTTGTAGCACGGAGACCTTCCCTGCACATTAATCTCTGCTCAGTTCATGCTTTCGCTTTATGGATGAACAAATGGCTGCCTCAGCAATAGCTCCTGCTCACCCTTCAAATCAGCCTCATTTCTAGCTAGGTGTCAGGTAACTCCTTCCCATGAAGGCCACAGCAAATTGAAAGGACAATGTGACTCGTGCCCAATTGTGCTTTGCATGTCACAACAGTGCATGCACCTGTTTTCACATCAGTAGATTTTTAGGACCTGGATGTCATTGCAACTTTGGGATTCCAACACAGGAATTAAAATCTGGCCGTCAGCCATGGTCTCAAAGCCTGCACGTATTGCTATTACTTCAGGAGAGCAATACATTTGTTCACTAATTTCATAACTGGAAATTGGAGATTGTCAGCATTTCACAACAGTGGAACTTTTATTACTGAAAAATAGCCGACAGGACACTTCTCACGTTCAATTATTCAAACTGATTGTCTCAAAAGCAAGCTGCCCACTTCCTTAAAAAATACTTTTGGTATATTACACTACAAGCACAGGCTCACCTTTTCAATTAAATCCATGATCATATTAAATCCAAAGTAATAACAAATGGTATGCTGAAAAAGATTATGATGCACTAATATCAAACGTGCATGGCATCAGATTTTAGGACTGGGTTAAGACCGCATTCGTTGTACACAATTGAAATATATTGCAGCAAGAAATTTGGGAAGTAAAATGGGCAATCTGGATAAGAAACCCCTTTCCCAAGTAAAGCAAATAACTTAAACAACTCAATTAAGAAATCAATAGTCAGTTTCCTTTTTCCAAGAATAAATTAATTTTGATCCACAATATTTCTTAAATACTCAATTAAAGAGCAACTTTCTGAAATGCAAACTCTTCAATATGGTTATGATTTCTAATATCACGTGAACAATTGCGGGTGTAAG